TCCCTACACAGAAAGAAAATTCCTATTTAAAAAAAGAGAAAAAAATCCAATAAATTAAGTCCCATTTTTACGTAAGAATTTGCATCTCCATTGCTTTTTTTGGAGACATTCATATAACGTCTGGAGACATCCATACTACTCAACTCAAAAGACATAGCAAAGGAAAAGACATACTGGAAGGCTTGGCATAACTCCTACTGTGCTTTCATGCAAATGCAAATAAAATTCTAAACCTCTCAGATGGGTGCTATTATATAGAGTAGAAAAGCTTTCTAATATTAAAGACAAAGATCAATATGTGCTTTGCTGCTAGAAAGGCCTGAGAGAGTTTAGAGAAGGAGCACAGCCTTCCTGTTTTACCTGGCAGTTGAGTTTAATTGTTACTAAAATTTAATTTTGCAAGGGGAAAGACAGCAACATACCAATGCCCCTCAAATTATGCTTTGAAAAGGAACTAGTGCTTTCAGCTGCTATACTATAGTGTTATTACAAAGTAACTCAAGAGAAAAGCCAAATTAAAAAAAAAAGCCATGTCTCAGTTTAGTTTAATTATTCCCACCTCCCCCAACACAAAAAGCCTGCAAGTCTTTAATGCATTAACATACAAACACCTTGTACATACAACATGTACAATAGTTGAGCCCTTCTATGACAAGTTATCTACAGAAATACAAATATACGATGCCTAACATTTTAGGAACAACATTTTGGTGCCCTCTTTTATAAAAAGTATCTGCCTGCCTTCCTTCCTCTTACTTTGGTTAATTAGGAAAGGAACATATAAACTTTCTCCTCCAATTCACTGTACAAGCAATTTAAAAGTCTACACAGGAAAAATTGAACCTAACCAAACCAGTAAAATACCCTTCTGCAATGCAAGAATTAGCAAGAAGGAGTTATTTTAAGTGCCGTTATAAATATGGAAATACTAAGATGATAATACTTCCTTGGTGTTGCTATCAGTTTTAATAAAGAACCCAATTAAAAACTCTGAGCTGAAGAAACAGACTTCAGGCTGCTGCAGTCATCATTCTCACATCTCGGGGGAAAAAAAACTAAGATAAACGGACAAATGTATCTCTAGTGATATCAGTGGACTTAAAGGGATCAATCTGTTTCACTTCATTGTTTAGTCAGTTCTCCAAGTATCTTCCCAGCTTCTAATGTCAGTAAATAAACATTAAAAGTGCTTAATGTGCAAGGCTAGTAGTGATGATAGCACTTTCACTGTTTTGTTTCTTTTTTTTTTTTTTTTTACAAAAACCTTAAAAACAAACATGAAGGCATATATAAAATACATTTGATTTATGTAACAGATAGAATATAAACCACCAGACAAGAAAAATTATTGCAAAATAGATGAGGATGTTCATTTTTTTCACTACCTAGTTGTAAAATAAGAAAGTTTCCTTTAGATCTTCTAAGGTAAGGTACTAGCTCTCACTGCTTGACGATGCAGAGGTGATTTTCACATATTGGTTGAAAATTGTCTCAAAAGCTTCATCTCTGTGTACCATGGCACCAAACACCAAAGGCTAAATGACAGAAAAAAAGATCATGTCAGTCCAGAAAAGAAAAATCTTCCTCTAGGTATAGTTTTGGCCAGATCAATAAGAACAGGAGACGAACTGTACTTGAAGTGCATTAATAAAGACATAAAAATCCTTTTCTCTACTAAATCCTTGGATATATGGCAGAGTTTCTAAGATTTTTTCACTTCTCCATCTTCTTCTTAAAACACCACAGCATAAAATGCATCTGCACAGAGTACTAGCAATGGAGAACACTTCAACTCTCTTTCCTCTCCATCTACTCAGTGCATGATGTTTTCCTGATTGACCTCTGCCTCCATTAAAGATTTCTAAAAAATTTTTATCAATGCCTCTTCATTTCAGCTCATAGATTATTTATTTAGCTAGATGAACATTTTCAACCTCATAATTAAGAAGTACTTCTCAATATCAAACACCGAGCAGAAAGCCTGGTACAACAGTCGTGTGACTTGGAGAAAAGTTATTTATAGATGATTAGTTTAAAATAAGTTTCAGTCATATGTTGAGAAAAGCTTCAGTCGGCCAAAGGGTATTTGAGGCTTAGAGAAGCTTAATTCTTTAGCACTGTAAGACTGAAACAAGAAAACTGCATCTGTCAGGCCCTTCCACCCCAAAGCCTCCTCATCCACAGATACTGTCAAGCCATCAGCTTTTCATTCCAGACTGCACAGCAGAGCAGCCCCCATGCTCCTGATGAAGGATGCTGAGGGAACGGTCAATGGAGGCAATGAAATAATGGAGCAAATTTTTCTGAAGTGCTATAGTAAAATAGTCCAGATGCAGTAGAACAAGCTAAATGTTTAAATCATTAAAATTCTGAAGCCAAATACACTGAATAATAGACAAGTGAATTAAAAAAAAAAAAAAAGCCAAACACTGGCATAAGGGGCAAAAAAAAGCCTTTATGCTGGGGGTAGCCTCAGAAGGAAGACAAAAAGGACATGAAGTCAAACACAGCCATACAGATACAGCTAGCTACTTACTTTTTGTGTAGATGGTGTTGATACAGCAATACCCATCCCTGATCCCGGGAGAACAGAGAGCACTTTATACTAAAAAGAAAAAAAACACAGACCAAAGAGATCTTACGTACTGAACAATTGCAAAAGGTGCTGAGAAGGTTACAAAACTCGTCACTGATGTATCCTCCCAGACACAACTAACAGACCTCTATTACAAACAAGAAGAGGCCAGACGCTGTTCTCTGACCCCGGAGTCAATGGGCACAGCATCACTAGTGCAGCAAGGGCCTGCCCCTCCTCCTCCTCCCAGGCGCCGCCGCACCCAGCCTGCCTGCTGGAACCAGCCCCGGCACAAACCGAGCACCCCGGTACCGCTGCGGCGCACGGGAGCTGGCCCAGCCACGACGCCAGGGACCACACTGGCAGCTGGGTGGCGCGGGCAGGTAGTACACCCCGGCCTTATGTGTATATACACACGTGAGGATGTGCCTGTGAGTATCACCTAGAGGCTTCCCTAGAAGTAACATTCACCCACTGTTTAAAGGAGCAGCAAGCAGACCAGAAAAAGCTTCTTTTTCAAAATTAAATAGACAAACAGGGTATGTATAGGTTGTTTTTCTTTTTAAAGAAAGTCCGTAATGCTATGAAAGAATACAACTGGCTGAACTGGGGAATATCCCCAAGGGGGAAGAGACCTCGAGTCTGACCTATGTTTCCCACTCCCAAATAAAACCAGGCGCAGTACATTTTTATGCTTGGCTGCATGATCCCTGTCTCATCATCACTGAAAAAACTACACGGATGCAAAAGGACCTTTACGGCAGTAAAGACCTACTAAACAACGAGCCAGCATTACTTCAAGTATGATGTTTAAAATCCATGAATATGAATTATTAATTCCAACAGGAATGTTGAAGTTAAGCATAAGTTGTCTGCTTTATAGACATTTGATATAAATAGAAACAATTAATTTGAAAATCTGGAGATACTTAAGCAGTAGACACCGGGCTGAGGTATTTCTTTGCACAGCATTATTTGATCTGTGGCACTCACGGCCACAGGATGTAGTAGAAAGCAGGAGTGTCTGCGTTTAAGAGCAGACAAGTGCAGAGAGGGTAACAAAAAGTGACATTAAATGTCATATAGAGTGATGCAAGGCACCGGTAAAGCCATTGGTGACTGCAGTCTGATAAAACTCAACCAGAGGAAGGATCACATTGTACTTGCCATGCTTCCAACCATCCACTTCTTGCCTTTATTAGTGATGGGATCCCAACTAGATGAAACTCCAGCCTGATCCAGTCTGGCTATTCTAATGATTTACCTTCCTCCACGGACAATAATCCCTCTTCCCTCCGAGGCACCTACTTTTAGGACGGTGCATCTACCGATAGCAACACTCAAACTGAAGTTAGTATTACACAACTCTTGCTAACAATAAATCTTCTTAAAGCCTACACAGCTCTAGTCAATGCAGGAGTTAAGAAACAACACAACTTTAAATTTAAAATAATTCAGAAGTATAAGGGTTTAGTAAACTACTTTGGTTTTATGCTCATAATGAGCTTGCTTGTGGTGAGTCCAAATGGCTAAACATGCAGTTCTGGGAAATATTCTTGATCAAAGAATTACATTTTACTTACAAAAATTATCAATGGCATGCTTTTTCAAAATAACATAAGCAGAAAAGCAAAACAGGACTAGCTGAACAGAAAACCAGCTTTCTCCCCTACTGACAACACAAAACAGACATACCTTCTGAATATCTGTTATGTCCGTTAGCTTTATAACTTTATTTCTTTTAGATGAGCCGGATTTGGAGCTTTCAAAGCACAAGTAACTGAAGACAAGGAAAGAAAATGCTCATTTTGATACAGTATTCTAAAACAAAGCTCTCAATATCCCTCCTGTCACTTCTGAAATTTGAAATCTCACAGGCTAAAATCAGCTTCAAAAAAAAGAAAGAGGCACACAATATGCAATTCAGTTATGGCTTCTAATTTAGAGCAAACATTCATAAATTCTAGCAACTTGCTAATGTGCCTGAAAGCCCAGAACATACAGCATGCACACACAAAAAAACTCTTGTATTTTTATTACTGCACTGAATGGTTAAACCTGACAAGCATTTTAAAGACACAGGAAGCACGTATATTCTTAAACAGTTGAAATACCAAATCTCAAAAGGCTTATAAATCTTTTACTATCCTAAAAGAAGATTAATGGAAAACACTGCGTTAGTTTCACGGTATTGTGATGCAGACAAAAGCTCAGATTTCTAAATGCTGGAGAGTGGTCTCCATCACTAGGTCACACTGCATACAGATGAGCTTTACTTCCATTCATTACACTCCAAAGGAATTTCAGAGCAAGACCCAAATAGTAGTGATGACAGTTATTCAGCCCTGGGAGGCCGGGGAGTAAGTAAGGATTAAAAAAAAAGTAAAAATCAAGTACTAGTTTTGAAACCAAGGCTTGAATTTCTATTTTCTTTTTGCTGTACATTGTTTCAAGGAAGCTATACATTCAATTTGCTTTAACAAAAAGAAACTAAGACTCTTTGCCAAATAACCACTTATCACAACTCTTAAAATACACTTAGCTTTTAGTTTTTTCTTTTTTAGTACATATAGATAGATAGATAGTATATTATCCACATCAAGAACTGTAGCTACTATGCAGCTTCCTATGCAAGCCTTTCCATGGCAAAATCACATTTGTTAAGCGTTACCACACCCCAGATTCCACTCTCCCTCTCCTGTTTTCTTAAGGTTTTAAAGCACCATGAAAAGGCATTTTTGTTTCAAAACATTGTTAAAGGATTACTTTTAGATTAAATTTTTTTAATGTCTGTTGCATTTCCCTCCTAAGAAACGTGTGGAGTGCAATGACTCACTTTTCTGTGACATAAAGAACTCCATTCCTGATGTAGTCTGTAGGCATCTTCCTATCTCTGTTAATCAAGCAACAGCGCCAGCCATTTTCACACACTGAAAAAGTCATAACAAGAAAACTTACTTTAAGAAAAAGAGACAGGCATTGCCCCCAACAGCTTCTTTATAAAACAGCAGAAAACACTGAAAATTAAACTTAAAACTAGAAATGTTTACAAAGAAAAGCCTAAATAAGGTGGTTTTAGGCATCATAACATCTGTTTTAACACTGGTTTAAAAAAAAAAAAAAAACAAACCAAAACCCACTCACACAATTATTCTCTTTAACTTGCCTATTCCCCATTTGTATTACCACAAAAGGCATGCCAGGCTGTGCATTCTTTCAAACAACTGTAAGGACGTGGAATGAAAGAGATAGTCTCCATTCATCCTAATTTAAAGCAAGTCTTTTTAAGCAAAGGCTTATACCAGTACATTGCACAGAAAAGGAATTCAACTTTAAACTATCCTTGGCTTTTTAGAAAATACACTACTAGTATAGCCACCCTGTTGCATAATACCTGCCAAAGGACGCTCATTTTCTGACAGGTTAAAAACTTCATGGAAATTCCCCCTCTTGGTGGTATGAAAGCGACTTGTGTCTTCATCTCTGCTTATTCCCGTTGGGGCGCTTGAGCCCACGTAACTTCTGGATGCTGCTGTTTGAAGCTGCAGAAAAATAAACAGGATTCCAAAATTTGAACTGCAACATTTAAGCTGTGCTCTTAAAAATAACTTGGCTAACTAGTCTTCCTAAAAAAAAAAAAATACCTGTAATGCAGCAATTTTTGTTAACTACTTCAATAAAGTTAACTTTGGACTATTGCACTATACTATTGCTATAGCACAAAGCTCTAATGTGCTATCTGAAGATCACCTTTCAATCTGCTGCCCTTTGCAGGGGTGAAAGCACATAGTGCTAGATGTACCATTTTTCTACAGCAAAGGGTATATCTGATTAGATACAGCTAAGTCACTGCACACAACTCTGATTATTATACTAGTGGGACTAATAACAGTTAATATATTATCAATACTTGGCTTGTCTTCAAGAGACAGACCAAGCACAAAATATTATTGCACAAAATAAGTTTAGAAAGAAAAAAGAGCAACCAAAGAAAAAGCCACACAATACTGCATCAGCTCATTAGGAACACATATGCTGAAATTGAAAGGAAGTTTTTCACGCTACGATCCATACCTTTTCATGCCCTGACAGCTAGCAGGAAAAGAAACAAACAACACAAATGTGACAGTGACAAAAGAAAAAAAGTGAAGTCTATTTAACAGTATAATACATAGAATAAAACATGAACTGAGTGAAGCTGCAAGATCTTGCTCACAAATCAAGAGACTACACACAGTGAATGCAATTAAAAAAAGAAGAGTTATCAGTGGTTAGAGCACACCAGTTCAATTTATTCAGGTTGCATTAGAGCCATTGATCTTTCCTTTGCTTTGAAGATGCACTGAATTTTGAGAGTGTTGACATGTGAAATAGAATCAGAATGGTTGTCAGCATCCTTAGGGGGCAAAAAAAGTAGCATGGAGTTCTCAAAACCAAAGTACTTGAGTAAAATCTACTTTTAAACAGAGCTCCTGAACCACTGGAGATGCCCTAGCAAACAAGCCTTGCTTCTGGAAGGACAGCAGGCAGTTTCTTTTGGAAAGCTTGCTTGTGTTTGCTTTTTCATCTTGGCGGGGCACCACATGATTCCAAAGGCTGGCTTTTGTCATTGAAGCATTAACAGCTCTGTTCTTAGTCCTACTGTACACATGCAGTTAAACAACTGGCAAACTGACAACATGCAAGCTCAGGACTAAGCCGTTCTTCTGTGAAGGCCCGATGCTGTTGGAGGCCAACCAGCCTCTGCTGCTTTTTTTTTTGCACACAAGTTAGCAGCACTTGACACTTTGCAGGATTTAGCGCTAACAAAAGAAATCCAAAGCAAATGAAAAAATGAGCACTGCAATCACTGACTAGAAACCAGACTGACAAAACAGGCATGACAGAGGGTATTTACCATCCAGCTTTTAGGGTAACTGTAATACAACGATGCCTTGGGGGAAAAGTATAAAGAAAGTTGATGTGGAAAGCAAATGGTTGATGATAACTGTACTCTTGCTTCAGTTACTGCCCCTCTGCTGTGCCCTTAGCAACGATTGAGCCCCTGGAACCAAGGAAAAATAACAGCTTCTCCAACAATTTGTGTGCAAGTAAAGATCAGATGAATTTTTGGAAGGCTTTCCTGGACAAGTTATTTGGCTCCATATGCACGTTTCCAGGTGAAGCTCCATGGCCCAAAACATACAAAAGGTCAGGGCAAGAGGTCTAATGCTTTTTGCACTGGAAGGAGGATTATTCCTGCTCTCTGCTACACTGCTTCCTACCTACCTGTTACATAAAGGGATTAAAAAAAGGTGTTTAAACTTCAGTACGACATCCCATCTGGTGGCTGAAGATGTGAAAAAGTTCTGCCCTTACTTCTAGTCCTTCCTAAAACAAGCAAATGTCTCCTCTACTCTTAAAAGAAGCAGCTAATTTATCCATAACCACCCAGGCTTGAGACAACCTATGGTCAATTACTAAAAGAAAAGCACTGCATCCAATTTTGGTAAGCCTTAAATCTAACTGGAAGTGATTGGATTTGTAATGCTAGAAGAGTCCTGACTGTCTAAAAACGTCACCAACATCCTGGAGGTAGGAATACCTGGAGGTATTCCTTTTCACTTGATCTGTCATTAGCTTTTGACATACAACCTTTACCCCATCAGAAACTGTTGTCAGGATTGTTGTCTAAGGACACGGGGTCAGAATGGTGGTATAGGTAATGAATATTGCATTTTGTCTAGGTTTACGGTGTCTTGTACACTGTTTAATGATAAGAAGCCAAAGCAAATGCACATATGCTGGCACTACATGCTTTTGGGCTCTGCCTTTTCTATGGAAAAAAAATGAAAAACCTATTTGGTTTTTACCTTTTCGTACAAAAAAAATGTATTTTTTACACTACAAGGTTCCCAGAAATCTCTCAAGGGGTAAGAAAGTTTGTCTAAAATTATTGAGACTAAGTTAATGTTTTCAAAGACATTTGGAAGCAGATAATGCAGTCCTGCACATCCTTTCCATGGAGACAAGCCAAGCCCATCAAATCAGACACAGTAGTACTAAAACCCTGGTCTACCTGTCAAAACTTAAGCCATAAGGAAAAGCCAGAAGGGATAATTACTCTCCAAGTTTATGGATTCAAGTTCAGCAATTCAGAGCCTTTCCACTTCTGAGGCAGATTAGAGGGACCTAGCAAGAAGCTGCCACAACCACCACAGTATGTGTGAAGGATAACCTGTAAGCTCGAGAGGCACAGAAACTTTTAAGCCCATCTTCTGCAAGCAGGAGAAATACAGGCTACGGACAGCTCTGTCCAAGCGCTCATTCACCTCTCTTGTCCCTTGGAAAACAGGAGCAAAAGACTCACTTTCTGTCAGAGGCTGTCTTTCTCTTCTACTTCCTTCTGAAATACTCAGATTATGCTGCAGGTATCATTTTACCACCAACTGCTCCATCTCTCCCAGGACCCCATATTTCTCCTTCTTCTTCTTCTTCTTCACAGGTTAACAACTGAGGGTTCATGTATTTATCCCTTTTGCTCTCCAGCTGTGTACCCAGGCTGAATTATTGCTAAGTGCTGCACATTTTAGTCAGGGAGCTTGTGACAGTACTCAGATACTCCACGAATGCAATTAGATACTGTGATAAGAGGCATTAAGCAAATGCTAAAATGGGATTAGACTTAAGTTTTAGTACAACCATTTTTTTTTTTTAAAACTAATAAACACTGACAAATTCAGGTGATATGGAAAAGCATGACTTGCTTTTCAGTTATCATGTCAGGCCCCAAAGCAATTTGCAAAGATGCACAAACACAACACTTAAAGATTTAACTATGAGATTTTAACAAAAGAAAAATTTACTGTTGGAGTACCAACATGGTGAAAAGTCATTTATCGCCACTATGCTATAAGGTCATCTAATACAAATAGCCATAAGACATAATGCCTAAATCTGTAAACTACTTTATTACCTCTGTTAATGCTTATCCCATTAGTAAGCTGCATATTATACTCAAGCCTTTTTTTTTTAACTAGCTGTTCTTCAATCTACACAAGCAGCTGAATTTCCACTAAAAAAGAATGTCTGAGAACAAAGAAAGGGAATACAGAAAGACTAAATTTTGACAATAAAATCACACAGAATGTACATTACAGAAATTGATATGAATATGGATGATGTTATTTTTGTGCATTTAGCTTCACACAATTTCCAAGATACACATATATGTTTGTATACACATTTTGATAATAGATTCCTTTCATATAAGAAACAGAATCCATATAAAACCTCTGTGGATCTAGAAAAATAATAAAAAAGAACTAACATTGACTGTTAGAATTTAATTAACCTTCCCTTTAATGTGCTCTAGTCACTGGGGAAAAGGGGAAGGGAGAAAGGGATCTTTCAGATGTTGGGAACAGAGGGACAAAAAGATTTATTAGCCTTACCCGTCTCGACACTGTCGCATTAGACCTTTCTTTGAGCTGAGGATCTGTCGGGAGACTTGTCCAGATGATATAAGGAGTATCATACTTAGCTCTTAGTCTGGGGCATCGTTTGAAGATAAAATCAATAAGGAAAAACTTGATTCCAGCATAGAGTCCTGAAAAAAAGGTCACTTTAGTATGCATGTTGAAGGGACATTAAGAACATCGCTGTTTTGATCATGTTTTAACAAGGTCATGAACGAAACCAAATTCTGTAAGTATCTTCAGTCATAGTGCGAAACCGTTCTCTTGATTTTAGTATTTTGATTCTTCTTCCAAAGGCAGGAAATTATTTTTCTTTTCCTCCCCTGCCCAGATTCCTTCCTCCCCATCCCCCATTCTTTTAAATCACTTATGTAGCTTCTTATTATGCAGAAGAACATTAAAATAGATCAAACGTACATTCCTTATTACCAGGAGCACCCCGAAAACATGATATACTTCCAAAAGAGAAACCACACCAGAGCATTAAACTGTGCAGCTCCTTGCAAGAATTTAAGTGGCAACAGAGGGCTCTCATGTACTACATTAAACTCTGTCTTCCAGTCTAGTATGTCCTCTTATTTTATACAAGATATCTTCTTGCATTCTGCCAGATTAAAAAGGGCTTGGAATACTATCTCAAAACTTTACTGAATGCAATTCAGATCTCCTTCTAAGAGTCAGAGTAAAAAAATAATTCCTCACACATCTAATTCAATTGCCACATCAAGCAAACCTACATTTATGTTCAAGCTAACACAGTTTGAAGTTCAGTGCCACTAAAAGTAATACTCATTTGATCATATCATTACTTTAATGAAAAAAAAAAAAAAAGAGAATCCTTGGTTCATGGGATGTGGCTTCGTATCTTAGAGAAAACAGTCTCATGCTATAGCGAGAACCCTCTTTTCCCAATTCCCAGTTGAGAGTTTAACTATCTGCAACTTCACCCACAGTAATCTGTTCATTTTGTCCAGCCTATCCTCCAAGTTTTAAAAGTAGTCCCATTAACCTCTTCATTTTTTTCCAACCCCGTCACCTTTGTGCCTTCTATGTGGTCCCACATATTTCATTTGCAAGGATGTATGAGTGAACAAGCCCAAAATATAGGACTTCCTGGAAGCCTTATAGCTGACAGTCTGAAGACGTCTGCTAACAGCTCATCACAAACTTCCCCTCTTCAAGGAAAGAACACATTATCCAGTCTTTTTCTATTATATTATGTACTCAGTGATGGGTTTCGAAATGCACATGACAAATGATGCCAAGCACAATGAAAATACTTTAAAATACAGCATTATTTATTAATGCAGGGTTTTCTTTCTTAAACTCTGAAATTCTCCCTCTGAAGACCATGTTAAGTTTTAACGCATTAAGTCTAGACTGTAACAGGTCAATTATTTATTGTGTTTACCCATTGCAAGCCCAATAATCCTGTAGGGCAAAAAGCAGGATGCAATAAAAGCTGCCCAGAGAGTAATGTAGAGCTTCTGTGTTATTTCTGGCTGGACCCACATGAACAAGCTGGAAAAAAAAAAAGAAACAAAATTTTATTACTAGCACTCCAGACATTGGTCAAGCCTTGTTTTAAGAGGAAAAAAAGACTCACGTCAGATAACTTACTTTTTAATTTTTTCCAGTATGTCTGCCATCTTGCCAAAAAGGTTCTGCATAAGAAGCAAGAGAATTAAAACCAAGTCCTGTATTATTTTGTTTTTTTCTCCACATAACAGAAACCAACAGAGTTATCTTACTCTGTTGGTAATAAGCAATTCCCAGAAGTTTTTTTTTTTAATTCATTTTTAGCCATTTATGTACTTCATAACTGAGTAAATACAGAACAGAATAGCAATACTCGATGACTTCCATCTCATTTAACACCTTGTTCTGTAACTCATGATTGATTGTTAGACATGAAGAAGCTATTTGACCCCAATGTCACAACTGGGAAGTGTTTACATCACTGCAAAAAATTTAAATTAAGCTGTCAATCTAAAAGCTAAGAGCTTCTGTCAGTAGGTAACAAAATGGGAAGTTTCTTCACACATTTTGAGCACTGAAATGTCAGGAGATGGTTACTGAGTTCATCAATTGGTGGACTGTTAGCTTCTTTGGAAACACACCACTATCAGGTTTTTGTAATACACCCTTGGAGTTACTAGATTCCACGTAATTCGAACAATTGTTGATGCAAACTGACCCCTGCTCAGGACTTAGAGGGTTATTTAGCCATTGTGCTGGTTTTGGCTGGGATAGAGTTAATTTTTTTCACAGAAGCTAGTATGGGGCTATGTTTTGGATTTGTTCTGGAAACAGTGTTGATAACACAGGGATGTTTTCATGACTGCTGAGCAGTGCTTACACAGAGTCAAGGCCTTTTCTGCTCCTCACCCCCCCCCACCAGCGAGCAGGCTGGGGGTGCACAAGA